CGCCGTTGGACGATGGTGGGAGCAATACCGGTACAAGCACCACCTTGCAGCCAAGACCTCTCGGTCCTCCATCCCAAAATCGTATGTACTCCAGTACGGTGTACTAGTGCGCTAACTCGTCTCGACACCATGGTAAACGAAGTTCAACGTACGAAAGAACGAGCCGACACCAGCCTAGCGAGCTCTGTTCGTACGCGACTCGATGAACGTAGCCACTCTTGGGATATGCAACCTGTCGTTTGGTCGTATGCCTCATTGCGTGCAAAAGTGGTCACAGCCCGCTCACGTTTGGCGACGCAACGGGCGGGTAGTTTGACGATCTCTACGCAGCGGCGACACCAACGGCGCAGCCGTTCACCCAGTCGAGTTTGCGATTTGGTCGCGGAACACACGGTATCAATGGTGGCACTGGCTACAGCAAGCTGCCAGACGACTCGGTCCTTGGCGCCACCACGGTCGCGCCCGAGGTTTGCTTTCGTCGAGTGGGCAACTCGTCGAATGAGTGGGCAACTCGTCGAATATGACAACCTTGGAAAAACCTGTGGGAAATAATATCTCCATAGACTCATTCCAACAACAACCTTTGCAACTCTGTCGGCCAACCTCGCCTCCCGAGCAACACACACCAAGTTTGACAACAATTCGACCAAGCTACATTACATATTGAGTCTACGTTTTTGTCGAGTGGAACAGGCTCTTCCTTGACCGGTTCGACGCTGAGCGTGACGGTAACACCTGTCGTACTAGTACCGCAGCTCATGCACCATTTGCAAAACAACGTTGTCGTTGATGTCAAAGGCCACGGCAAGCTGCTCTAGCAGGTCCAACACCCGGTCCCGATGTTGAGCGACCGTGTGCTCGTTGATCAGCGGCGAGAAAGCTTGGAGTGCATTCCTGAAGGCCAGCGGCGGGGGCAGGTCCGCGCGGAAATGCAAGTGATAGATGTACCGCAAGTCTTGTATGACGGCAAGGACACGGCTTGTGGGCATTGGTAAGGCTGCGAGGCACTGCACCGAGACGTCCAGTACGTTGCCAAAGAGTTGGCCAACGACTTGCCGGTTGACTTGCCGAATCATATCTTCAAGTGCGGCCAGCATCCGCTCGCCTTGATTGGCAATGTGCTGACGCCATCTGCATATACGACGTCATGAGCCAGCGCCTTCCTGCATCGTCACGCGTACACTTCGGGATTCGGATGACTCATGGGAGGACGCGGGATTGATACCAGACTCGGAAGCGCGCCTCGGAACTCTGCCGCTCTACAGTACAGCTCACTATAAGAATGGGAAGGAGACGACGGCGCGCACACGTGGCCCTACCCGGTCTCGGCAACGAAGGACTCTGGAGCAGGTCGAGTCCGCCTTTGAGGTAGCAGCACGAAAACTGCGGCTTCGTACAACTGACTGCCCATGTGCCCGCGCGGTGTGCCCAATCAGACGTGTCGCCAGGCATTCCCCATTCGCGATTGGCCAAATTGCGCAGTCAGTCCACCATTTTGTCCAATCAGGTTGCAACTTGCCGTCCGTATCCGGATACGCGATAGTCACTTGACGAATTTACCGTATTATCCGGAAAGCAAAATGCATCAAGATGATCACACTGGGAACAGGCCGACAATGAACGTGTCGACTACCCCGCGCAAGGAGCATTCGGGACCCGAGAAGGACGAGGTAGATGGCCCGTCCTATGGTCCGAGCTAGCTTACACCTCAATAGAGCGCAGCGTCCACAACGACCGCCACCGAGATCCAACCCGCTATCTACGGCGAGGCCGAGGTTCGCTTTTGCCTTCATACTGATGGACACGTGTTGTTGCGTGTAGTCGATTGCTGCCCCAAGCCACGGCGATGCTTTGAGCTTGCTGCAAGCATCCAGCCAACCTTTATTGAGCGAGGTCCACGACGAGAATACGTTGGAGCTAGACCAGCGGCTTCAAGCCGCAAAGTACGTCGCCGTGTTCATGCGATGATTTACCTTTTGCGCATCTAGAGCTTCATTCCGTGTGCTCCATCCATTCAGCAGAAACCCCATGAAATTATCGCAAGACGTTGTTCCCGCCCAACTAGAGTACGCGGAGCGCAAGACGCAGGCCGACGAGGTGCGGAACGACATGGCGCCTACGACGCCCAACAACGTCGCGGCTACGAAGGAGGCGTTGATGGCGGCGATCCAGCACATGCGGTCGCTGCTGACAAAGCCGGCCGTTGCCACCTGCCCACGCCGCGTCATCGACGTGGTGGTGCAGTGCCTCGCGGTCTTGCCGGTCGAGACGAGCTCGGCCATCACCGAGATGCAGAAGCTGCGCGTCGCTCTGGCCGTCCCGGTGCAGAACGACATGGCTCTACCAGTGACGCCGGCGGATGCGACGTCGGACGGAGCCGCGTCCGTGGAAGAGGCGTTGATGGCGGCGATCCAGCACATGCGGTCGCTGCTGACAAAGTCAGCCGTTGTCACCTGCCCAGCCCGCGTCATCGACGTGGTGGCGCAGTGCCTTGCAGCGTTGCCGACAGAGGCCAGTGCAGCGGTCGCCGAGATACAGAAGCTACACTACGCTCTGGTCGACCCGGTGCAGAACGGCATGGCTCTGCCAGTGACGCTTGCGCCGCCGCCTACGGCGTCCGATGTACGTACTTGACTTTTTGACGAAGGGACTCATGCGGCGTGGAACCTGTAGAATGGTTGGACACCTCTGCACATTGCGTCCCAACCGGGCCACTGTGACGCGGTCACGTTGCTTCTCGCTGCGGGCACCGGCATAAACCGGGCAAACAATGTACGTAATCGACTCTATGGATGCACAACTTACGCGTTGTGGAACCTGTAGGATGGAGTCCGAGACGCGTCC